TTCGGCCCCGAGGACATCAGAGTCCTATTTGCATGCCCACGTTCCCTAATTGTTAGGTTTACACGGGGTTCTCTCAGGTTTGTGATCTCCGTGATCCATGCACCGACTGCCGCCGATCCCCATCGCAACTCGTGGTGGAAGCAATTCCACGACCGTATCATAGCTACCGCCAGAGGAGATCCCACTGTCCTAGTTGGTGATTTCAATGCTAGGTTGCAATTCCCTGTGCCGAATCGTGTTGGGGAACTTGTCTGGGAGGGTGGCCCCTCACCTCCTGAACATCTGCTCTCCCTCCTTGATGGACTCGATATATGGGTTCCGTCAACCTATCCAGTCATTCACCACGGTGAGTCTTATACGTGGGCCTCCCCAGGGCATGGGGCCACGTCCCGAATAGACTTTGTAATGGTACCCTCTAGTTGGCAGGTAGCTAATAAGGGTTCGTATGTCATGTATGACATTGACTTTGGCCACAAAGGGGTAGACCATTTTGGTGTCACCCTTGAGATACGTACCTGGCTCCGACTACTGAACCGGGGAACTAATCGGCCAATCCGGATCGACACAGGCAGTATGCAAGATCCCAAAGCCGCCTCGTTGTTGGACAACATTTGTTCCAACATCCCAGAACAACCTTGGCGCACTGACGCACACACTCACTATGCAGCCCTTGCCGAGCACTTAAGTGGGTCCTTAGAAGCGCGGTTCCCCGTCAAGAAGCGGCCACGAAAGAGCTCATATTTCAGTCAAACCACGTGGGACTTGCGGCAGCAAAGGGTGTATCTGCGAAAAAAGGTTGTATGGTCCAGTAAGGGGTGTGCCAACACTGATCTTAGGGCAGCCTTCGCCAAGTGGAGCGAAGGTTCCAGCCTAACCAGCTGGTGCTACCGGAGTGTTGCGCGAACTCTCTGTTCCCTTGCTGCCCTACAGCGTAGTGTCGCAGACTTGAAATCACTGCAACCTGATTTAAAAAAGAGCATCCGTGGAGACAGACGGAGTTACCTGTCGCACATCGCGCAGTCTGCCAGTCAATCCACTACCAAGGATATAGTGCAGAAGTTACGCCCCTTGCTTGGTCCTCCCCGAAACAAGACTAGGGGGTCTGTAGCATTGCCCCTCATTGAACTTGAGGATGGGACTGTCGCACAGGATGCCGTCCAGGCCGATCAGCGTTGGATCCGGCACTTCAGTTCCATAGAGGATGGCTATCCTACTGAGGCAGGTCAGCAGATCCAGGCATGTCTTGAGCGACAAGCGCAACTTGATGTCGACAGCCTCCAGCTTAGATGGGATGACGTCCCTAGCCTCCTCGACATTGAACGCTGCCTGCGGGCGTCGCAATGTGGTAAAGCCATAGGGAATGATGGGGTTCCTGCAGACTTGCTTCACCTTAAGGCTTCTGCAATTTCCAAGGCCATCTACAAGGTCTTCCTCAAGGCAGCATTCCGTATGCAGGAACCAATTGCATGGAAAGGAGGTACCCTCCACGCGATATGGAAAGGCAAAGGTCGACAGGCCGATTGCGCAAGCTACCGGGCCATCTTAGTGAGCAGTTCAGTTGGAAAAGCCATCCATGGCACCCTCCGCAGCAAATGCTCACCTTTCCTTGACACTGCGTGCACGCCCTTGCAAATAGGGGGTCGTCGTGGTCAACCTGTCCAAGTTGCCACGCAAGCAGTCCGGACTTTTCAGCACGCAAGCTTGAGACAGAAATGCTCATGTGCTGTCTTGTTTGTTGACTTGCGAGAAGCGTTCCACAGGGTGGTACGCCCGTTGATACATGGTGGCTCGCTGAATGACCATCACGTTGCTGGCCTAGTACGTGAGCTTGGCCTTGAGCCTGAAGCCATACCCCGCCTCCATGACTATGTAAGGCAGAGATCGTTGATACAAGACGCCGGAGCCTCTCACTGGACTTCGCGCTTCATGCAGGAAGTTGGCGAAGATGCGTGGTTCACTTTCGGCGCTACCAACGGCTTTGCTCAAGTGCGGGGTGGAACGCGCCCAGGCGATAATCTTGCAGACCTTGTGTTCACGTTTTTATTCGCCGAAATTTCCAACAGGATCAGATGTCGTTTTCGAGATGCCGGCATTCTGATAGACCTGCCATGGAGCCCTAGGTGGCTCTGTGGAGCCCCTGGGGCTTCTGAAGCCACGACTGGCTGTCATCCAGTAGACGTAACTTGGATGGACGACCTCTCAGTCCTCCTCCAGGCCCCCTCCCCTTCCAGGCTTATCGAGAACCTCCGCTTTGCTGCCACTACTACACTCGATGAGTGCCTGCAGGCAGTACTCCTGCCCAACCTCAGGGCGGGGAAGACTGAAGCCGTCGTAAGTCTCGTTGGACCTGGATCCCATAGCATCGCCAAGCAGGTATTTGCAGGTTCCGAGCCATCGATTCAACTCGATTCTAGCCTCTGGCCTGGAGCGCGCCTGAGACTCGCTGCTTCCTATAAGCACCTTGGTGGCGTGATACAAGCAGGTGGAGGTTTGAAGCGAGAGCTTAGGGCCAGAATAGGATCTGCTTGGCAGGCTTTCAATAAGCATAAGAAACTTGTCTTTGGTTCACCGATAGTTGCCTTTCATGAAAAGGCAGTGCTCTTCACTTCACTAGTTGAATCTACCCTCTACTACGGAAGTGGGACATGGCCCAATGTTGGTGAAAAAGAGATAGTTAAAATACAGAGTTGCCTGGTGCAGATGGCACGTCATATGCTCCGGCCCAAGTACGATCATGAACAATCCTGTCATCTCAGCCAACAGTATGTTCTCGCTGTTGCGCGCATTGCCAGCCCATGGACCGCCCTACATGTTGAGCGACTCCGCCACCTGAAGTCTGTAGTCCTAAAAGCTACAGATGAGCTGTGGGCCATCCTCCACTATGACAAGGACTGGCTTCGCCTAACTGAGAACTCACTTGTGTGGTTTAGGGAGCAACAGGCCAGAGCTAATTCCAGCCAAGTTGAATGGGACACTTGGGATGGCGTTGTCGCGTACATACGTAGTTGTCCCAACGGCTGGAAAAGAGCTGTCAACCGGGCTAAGCAAACTGCAGTCCTTGCTGAACTCTGGCTTGCAGAGAATCAGCAATATCAGGGCTTAGCCTTCCGGGCCTTTCGAAGGGCTGGGGCTGTCATCCCTGGTGATCTCGTTGATGTCGCCAACTCACGCGAGATCTGTGGTATCTGCCGTGTTGCCTTCGACAGCCTATGTTCCTGGTCGCACCATGCTTTCAAGCGGCATGGTAGAATCAAGCCTGTTAGAAAGCTGGCTAGGGGCACTCAGTGCCCGGTCTGTCTGCGTCAATACCGAGCCAACAGAGACCTATGCAATCACCTCGAGCATAGCACCTTGTGCAGACATGCACTGATCAATGCTGGCTTCGAAGACTTGCCTGCGCCAGGTGTTGGTAGTCGCAAGTTTGACGACGGGAGGAACTGCCAGCTTCCCGTGACTCAGGCTCAGGGTCCAGGTAGTCGTTGGGATTTTACCCCTGTCTGCGAAGAGGCTGACTCGCCTTGTGCAGCAATACTCGAATCCCTAGAAGACTGCTTCTGTAATGACACTGACGTCTTCGGTGACCAAGGACAACTTCTGGAAGCCGTCAAACGAGTCTACATGACCCAGTGCCTACAGGTCTCTCGTTTAAGAGCCACAGCCCAACAATGGCACAGTCAGCTCCAGAGCGCTCTTGATGACGACGAACAGATCCCTCTCCAGTGGTCTGTTTGGCACCAGCAGATTGCCAGACAGATATGCGATGTTGACTTTGTTGAGTGGTTGTGTGAGGGTGGTGAGGAATCTAATTCCAATCCTGCTACCTTCCGTGACGCTGCAACTCTGACACCTTGGTTGGAGTTCCCCGCTGAGTTCATTGCCACTGTGCCAACTCCTAGCAGACCAGGCGTGAGGTATACCCCTGCAGTAACAGAGATCGATTGGATTTCCAACCCGTTCAGACAGAGTGTCCTGCACACACAGCTCCAGCGCTGTCCAGAACTGCTGGTGTTTGAATCAGTGCTCAAGGGCCTCGATTCCACTGAGTTCATCCTTCTCTCCTGTGAAGGATTGATCGGGTCTTTTGGACTTCCTTTTCCTCTCAGGTCCTTTCGGTCTTTGTCAGGACCTGTTCACCAGCTACGACTCTTCTCGGACCTTCTGCGGGGTGCCTTTTTCCTCTGGGTTAGGAGAGCCCCTACGTGTTTGCTCCTGCCGCAAGTCTCCTGTCCTATTGCTGAGGCTGTCGGCAACTTCGCTCCCTTTGCTAAATCTGTTAAGGGAGGCACAGCATTTGCCAATTTTGAGCTCGCGTAGGGAGCTTTGTTTCACTCTGTTTAATTAAATGCAATCTTCGCCATGGCTGCGTCCAACTCGGACTCAACGCCCCGAAAAGCGAAAAGCGAATGTACGTATGTACGTATGTACGTATGTACATATGCACGTATGTACGTATGTATGTAGTACGTATGTATGTATGTACATATACCTCGTCAGAAAGAGAAATATCAAAGTAAAACGACGGGTTCAAGAGTGCTAACTGCAAATGGGTGTGCCAGAATCATGAGTAAAACCTTTTCGGCTTTCAGTTCTTAGACCTGTCGCTTTTGGTCCGGCGTAATAGACTTAAGTGCGGGAGTTTGGATAATCATCCAGAGGCAGCCTCGCTAGAACGTGTTGTCAGATTCACTGCTACAGGGCTTGGGGACTCGACGTTGGCAAAGCAGTCTAACCAGAAGGACAGATCTCCGAACCCCAAGCAAGCCCTGCAAGCTTTAACCTTAAAGCCCTAAACCCTGAACCACTGAACTACCGCGTCCTGAAACCTTTACGTATCAAAGCTCTAAAGCCTGAGACCCTGGCCCCATAGGAAAACCCCTCTAGGAGCCCCTATAGTAGCCTTTGCAGTATAACCCTTACGGGTTCGTTAGGGGTTCCTTTACAGGTTCTTAAGGCTCTTAGGGCTTTCCTTTGCGGGAATCCTAAAGCCCCAAACTCCCCAGGGGCTCCGATGTTCCCACCTCGGCCGCCGTATCCCGCGCCGGCGCGTGGAAGCTCAGATTTCAGGACTTCAGGGTCGAGGATTCGAGAGTTTGTGGCATTTTCGGATCCTAAGCTGTAGGGTTTAGGGCCTAGACTAGAGCCATGGGGTTTTAGGGATGAGGGCTTTAGGTTCCAGGGTTTGGGAGGCTTAGGTCTTAGGAAAGGGCCACACAATCCATGCTCGCTACGCTCGAGCTCTCATGTGCTCGTTGGCAAGAGAAGATCCCCGATTCCGTCTAAGGTCCTTGGCCAGGATTTGCGCAGGAGACTAGACACCGGCCGAAACCCAACAGGCCCAAACATTAAGCTTCCAAGCTTAACTTCAAAACCCAAACTTGATACCCTGAACCCTCAATCTCAGAACCTAAAGCTCTAAAGTTTGGCCGAAGAACCTCATTCCTCAAAGCCTGACAGTCCGAGGGCAGCGGCCGCGCCGCCGGCGAGACCCGCTTGGCCGCCAAAATCCGTCGAGGATGCGGTGTACTGCCGGCAGCCCTTATTTGGACCATTTTGGACCCTTAAAGGGACTATTAAAGGGTACCGTTCCTGAAAGGAGCCCTTATGGGGTTTGAAGATTACTTTGGAGTTCTATGGGGCTCAGCGTCTTCGGGATATTTCGGGGTTACGGGCTTCAGGGGTTTGAGGGCGCAAACGGCTGATTTTGGCACCATGAAGTTCAGGGCTAGGGAGGTTTGGAAGATTCGGGGAGCTCTTCGGCCTGAGGGTATACACAGCGTGAGGCCGTGGGTTGCTATGAGGGTACAAGTGGGTCGGAAAAGTTGGTATTGATATTCTGGTTTTCTTGGGATTCCGGAGTATAGTTACGACTCAAAACCCCAGAACCCCCTAACCATTCAGGCCCCCAAACCCTAAACCCTAAACCTTAAACCCGAGTCTTTTTGATGATGATGTGCAGTGTCAGGAGCTTTCCGGACCTTGGAGTATCTCGGATCGGGTCAGCACCAAACTTTGGAGGTTCATGGACAGTGATACGTGGTCTAATAAGTGGGGTTCCTTTATTTAGGTTTTGGGGCGTTAGATTTAGGGTCTACTTGGAGATTCATGGGTAGTTATAATTTTGGTTCTAATTAGGGTGATCATAATTATAACCCATATGAGGGCTTATAACTCCACTTATAGCTACCCATCCCATGAAGCTCCAAGTAGACTCACGGAGAGACTGTCCCAGAGTGGCAGGTTTTACAGAGACCATCGCCTTCGCACGATCAGGCGGGCTTGAACACGGCACTGCCTATTGTGGGGGCCTACCTATATTTTTTTGGGGTCCCTTATTATAAATATAATACACCCTATTAAAATTATGAAGGCCCCTACATTAGGGGCCGATTCAGTCTTTCCGGATGCCGTTGCTTTTGTGGAGCTTTGGGCCTTCAGACTTCGAAGCTTTCTCCAGCTTTGGACCGGGATCGTTCCAAAGCTCCCAAGCCCCAAGGCTCTGTACGCGCCTTTGATGGTTAGGGTTTAGGGTTTAGGGTTTAGGGCTTCAGGAGTTTAACTGACGAGGGGTCTTGGATCTAGAAGATGGGGCACCAGCAGGACTTGCTTCCAGCCGATCAGCTGGGAACGTCAAGCCGAGGTCTCGAACAACAGCTTCAACAGCTGTTGAAGCCCCCGAGCCTCAGCGTCACCCTTCAGCCCCAGCACATTCTTACCAGGCTGGTGAAAATCTACACGGACAAATCTTGCATTCTGTGCAACAGCCGTTACCCTAAACATCTTGTGCCCTCACGATGTAGAGCTTAGGCTTACGGTCTAGATCTCGACGACTCTATACTACGGTAAGCTCACCGCGAAGCTTTCAGAATGAACGACGCCCGCCTCAAATACTTAGCACCGCAAGAACCCCTAGACCCCAAACGCTATACTGTCCTTGCCGACAGGATGGACGAGCGGGTGAGGGAGAAGCTCAGGCACTTCTGCAAGCTGCTTGTCACCAAGGGATGGGCAGGTGGAGTACCGAAACCCAAAACCCTGATGAAATGCTAAAGTTTCAACCCTAGGCCCTAAACGCACCTTGAAAAGCCCTGAAGACTGTCCGTCCGGCCACATCCTGAAAGCTAAGGCTTCACTGCGCAAGCATTGTGAGTACTGAGGGTTCGGAAAGCTGCATGGAGATCACTGGTTACACTGTCCAATTAATGACCGTGAGCCAAGAGCTGAACCCTAAAGCCTAAACCCTAAACCCTAAACCCTAAACCCTAAACCCTAGAGCAAAGAGCTGAACCCTAAAGCCTAAACCCTAAACCCTAAATCCTACTCCGAGGGTTTGTGAAAGTCGCTTCTCACTGTCCGTGAACATCCGGGTGGAGGGACAGAGACGATTGTCAGTCCGTGGGTAGTTCTCTAAATTAGCGTCCCTCTTTAGGTCTCCCAAATCGTACGACACCCCTATAAAAAGGACCCTGAAAGGCTCATGAAGTAGAGTTTATGGTACTGCCTAGGGTATACAGGGCTCCTGAGGTCTGTTTGCATCCCCCCTCGGGATGCTGTGAATAAGCATCCGATCATGTATTATATATATATATATATATGTATATACATATACTTATGCATATATATATATATATAGACGTACTATGTGTTTATGCACTCCGCCTTAGTATATAAAGCCGGTACCCATAGTTGCTGTCAGACAGATGGCACTCGCGAGTCTTGCCGGTACTGGCAGCCCACGGGCCTAAACCTTAAACCCTAAACCCTGAATGCTTGGCGGTTCGAGGTCCCGTATTCAACAGAAGGGTCTGGATACGATAGGGGCCTAAATAGTTATACTATTTTGGGGGTTCTTAGTAGTATAATCATGGTAGAATGGACCCCACAACCCTATTCCAATTATTAAGGCCCCTACATTAAGTAGACGTCGAATTTTCCTTATGGTCCCAACAAAAGATACGGTAGCATGTGGCCTAAAGCCCTATTCGATTTCTTGAGGCCTTTGGGTTCGGGAGTCTTACCCCAACCTTACCCCAAGGACCATCCCATGCCTAGGCAGTTTACAGCAGACGTCACCCAGCGATGACCGAGAAGACTCCACATAGAACCTCTGAAGCAATCTCCGGGCCCGGCACCCTCAACGCTTCACCTCGAGCCGGATACTGCTCTTCCTCTTCCTGTAGGAGCAGAGAACGGGCCACTGCACATCAAATGTTACCACCCCAACAACCCTAAACCCTAAACCCTAAACCCTGAACCGTAAGCCCAAACCCAAGGTGGAGCCTGAAACCGCCCAGACATCCCAAAACCGCAGCCTGCAAGCCGAGCAAGCCGAGCCCCAAGAGAGCCAAGGAAGCACCACTTCTCCCGAGAGGTGGGGCTCCGGTGCTCGAGCTTAAAACGGTTAGTTATTACAAGGGTTATAGTAAGGGATGACGAAGGTTTCTACAAAGTTTGGTATGAGGATTATAAAGGCTACGATGAGGGTTATTATAAGAGTTACTACAAAGACTACGATCAAGGTTACTATAAGGATTACCATGAGGGTCCCTATCAAGGTTACCATAAGGCTTGCTACCAGGGTTCTATACGTATAAGTAGGGTAACTATAGTTATAACCCATATTCGCAGACTTTTAACCCTACTTATAACTACCCATGACGCTCCAAGTATAGGGCCTTAGTAGTTCCTCCTAAACCCTAGACCCAGGCTCTACCCTGGCCTCTGGCAAAAGTTACCCGCTACTAGCTGCTGCATATGCTGAGCTCGACGTCCCTCGGAGTCTCAAAGACTACATATACTGAAGCAGACGAGGCCATACTGTACCATGGCATATTATTCTAGTATCTTATAGTATACTAAGTATACTATAGTATACGGTATTTTTCCACAGTAGCCTATATAGTATAGTATACTCTACTATGGAGTTTGGCAGGTCGAACATGGCCTCCGCATGCTCAACGAGCTGACGGCGAACAGCATCCTTAGCGACAGTTTCTTGGCCTGTGCAACACGGAGTTCACGGTGTAGCACTTCATGGAGTTCAGAGTAGGGGGTCACTTCTTCAGGATGTACGCAGACCCAAAACCCTAAACCCCAAAACCCGAATTCAGTTCTGGGGGGCTGCGGATCACCTGGGATCCTCGTGGGCCGCCAGGCCTAGAAGAACGCGACATTGATACCAGCAGCCCCGCTCCCCGGGTCGTCAACCCACACTCTATAGACACTCAAATTTCAACCCCCGAACCCCAAACCCTACACCCTAAACTCTAAACCCCTAAACCCCTAAACCCTAACCCTCCTAAACCGCAGGGCCCCCACTACATGCCTGCTCTCAGCACCTTCTGAGCCTTTCCATTGGGTTCTTTGGGCCCGGCCCAACCTTGTTGGCACCCAGACTCAACACTTGCTGAGGATGTGCACAGTTCGATTCAAGTTCATGAGTGCGCCGTTGTAGGTACTGCTATATGTACTTCTTTGAAAGTTACAGGTAAATTGTAAGTGTGGTTACCCCAATCACAACAGGGCTTGCAAAGTGTTCGAAGCCGCCAAAGCAGAGCCAGTCCAGCAGTAGTACCAGGCATGTTCATCCATGGCTAAACAGGCATGGCATTCCCTCTAAGCCCTAAACCCTGAGCCCTCGTACACCCAAACGCGGTTCCATGTATTTTGCGCACTAAGCCCGAGTTGCATGTCGCCGAAAGCGGGCTCAGGGCTTTGGAGGACACTCAATTCGAGGGTTTCGTCTAGGATTGTGCGTATATATATATATATGTACACACATACACACTTATATCTATATCTATAGAGATATGCAGATAATGATTTTCGATGATAATGAATTTCTGTGTACCTGTATAGAAAATGTATGTATGCATATTGTACATATGTTTACGTATATTGGTATATGTGCAATATATGTGTAAGACGTATACTCGTTTATGCATATATATATACACACACGTAGAGATAGACGGGTAGACATATGCATGGTATGTGTGCATAGATGTACATCTTGTGTGTATCTATATCTGCATGTATACTCTTGGAGTTCGACCCATCCGAAGGAACACCACTGCACTTCGCGGTCGAGGCACACAGCGGACCACCGAACGAAGCTGCCAACCTCTGTGCAGCATTTAGGGTTTCGGCTTCGGGGTATAGGTTTGCTGTGTCCCCGAATCCTACCTGTAGCCGAAAACACCTACCTTTTTCGGGTTCCTTATTATGGTTTCTCAAAAAAAGTCGGTCTTTTGGGCCACGGGTAAACCTTGAACCGTGGGGAGTTTTGGCGGTTGAGCGTCCGAGTCGGGTCGGGTCTCAATCGGAGGCCTAGCTGCAGCCCTTCAACTAACTGCTCTTGGCATCCGAATGTTCGCGGGGCGATGAGCAATGTAATATAGGGTTCTTAACTAATTAAAACAGGGTTTTGGGGTACTTCATACTATAATTAGCATAAGGAACCCTCGATACCATATAAGTAAATTTCTAGGCCACATTTTTTACACGAAGACCTAACAATGGGTCTCATTTCGACCCAAGGCCCCAAAGCCCTAATGCGCCAAGACCTGAAATTGCATGCCAAGAAAAGAGCTGTCGGCCATCAAGCAACCACTGCTTGTTCCAGCACTGCATCTTTGTTTGGGAGTCTGACACTGAGCAGTTGGGTTTTCTAGGTGTTTGTGCATGGACGTTAGTTTCGCTGGCGGCAACAGCAGAAGGCATCAGATTTAGAGACCAGTGGGGTTGTGAAATTATGCGAGCAGGTTCGCACCGTCTGACTCAGAGAAATCCCGAATGATCTTTGGGGTGGAAGCTAATCCGTTTGAGATTGTTCTACTCATAGAACCGGGGGAAACGAACACCGGCCGACGCGTAAACGACCTTCCAAATTCAGCTGTTACTATGGATATGCACTTTAAATGTTCCTCGCATTGCCATGCGAGTGTCCGAAAGCTTGATCACAGCCTGCTGGTGTGAGCTGTTCAGGATCGTCGGCTTTGTCTAGTTGAGAATGCTCATGGCGGTAGTAGATGTAAAAGTATATAAAACTTTAAGACTTGTCGGCCATCTGGCAGAGTTCCGATTCCAAGGAACAGAGGCACACACAATTTTCTTGTCCATAGGGCAAGCTGACCCACATGTGGGTGCCGCAGCAGCCAGATGCTGCAGCTTTTGACAGGTTACAAGATTTTGGAAGTGAACAAAACTGGCAACAAGACGAGCTGGAAAAGCACTAGCGATGCTAGCAACAAAAACCCAGAATCTAATTCTTTGCCTACGCAAAATCTCAGCGACCCCATGGACTGCAACACATCCGCCTTAGCTCTAGTGATGCTGGCTTGGGTAAGCAACCTTATTGCGAACTACCCTCTCGCGAGCTGCAAGAGCAATCCAGCGGCATACTGAAGTCCCTGCAGCCAATGCCGATATAGAAGCACCTGTGGGCACGTGTTGAAGCATGTTTCTGAACACACCCTACTTGTCGCACACATGCCATCACATGCCAAAATTCACTGGAAGACTTGAAAGCCTACATGCCGAAAACACTGACAATGACTCCTTTGTCCAAAAAAACGTTCAATTCTGGGAAGCAATTGCCGCACATCGATGTGGGACATAAGAGTTGGTTTGGCAAGGTTTGTACCTGGTTGTTGACAAAGTGGCAAAGTTTGTCACTGGTTCACGGACGTACTGTGGGGTTGAGCTTCTCGACTACGGCAATGGTTTCGGTGCTGTGCTGACGGTTCAAACACCATTGGTGTGTCCGTTGGCGCAATTCCCCTAACAGACTACTGTACCCAGCTCATCATCAAGCAGCCAAGCAGACTGGGCTCTACAGTGTGCACGGCGATTCAGGTCATGTCGAAGGGCGTACTTCGACTGTTCAGTCAGTAGTGTCTGCAAACCATATAAAAAACGTTGCGGCACATGCAAGGAGCTGCCGCCAAGGATCTTTAGCGCCTTTTTTGATGCTTGACTCGCGAATCCCAGGTGCAGAAAGCTCTCTGGGCTTCGGATTCTGAACGTTTTGCGTTTCCATGGTTTTACGCTTAGAGTCTAGAGTTGAGGGTTTTTTGGGTTTAGGGCTTGGGGCTTTTAGGTCTTTGTGTGTATAACTCTTACACTCCCAACTAAATCGAAGAGACCGAAAGTCAAAAACACCGTGAAATCAAATTCCAAAGAAATACTATAGAGGCCTTAACTAAATAGAACAGGGTTTGGGGGTACTTTATACTCTAACTATCATAAGAAATCCCCCCCCAATATCGTATAGGTAAATATCTAGGGCCCCTATAAACCCTAAACCCCTAAACCCTAAACCCTAGACCCTTAACCCCTAAACCCTACGCCCCAAACGGTGACCCCCTAGACCCCTTAAGGCTCCCTGAAAGCTCGGGGTTCCCTGTTTCTTAGTTTCAGTTTGCTTTGTTTTCTTGATTCTTACTTCGCCAATAAGCCAGGGAAATAAAAGGTTAAACTTTCAAGTAACTACTAAATTATAAGAACCCAAAAAGTTTAAAGGTTGGGTATTGAGGAACTAAGGATTTGATGTACAACCACAATCGAACTAACTTTATCGCTTTCTCTGTTCGACTACTACGTTCTTTCGGGTTCAGGGCTCTTGCTTCCGGGCTTAGGGCCTCGGGTTTAGGGCTTCTTTTGGTTTAGGGTTTAGGGTTTAGGGTCTTGGGTTTAGGGTTTATTTTGGTTTAGGGTTTAGGGTTTAGGGTCTTGGGTTTAGGGTTTTTTGAATTTGGGTTTAGGGTTCTAGGGTTTAGGGTTTTAGGGTTTAGGGTTTAGAGTTTGGGGTTTCAGGGTTTAGGGTTCTCAAGATCCTGCGTTTGTGTTTGAGATCTTTTCTTAGAGACTCCCTCCTTCCAGTGCTGATCCTTTCCTGCAAGCTTGTGTGAAATACCTTAAGCCCTACATGCATGATGAAGCAGCAACAAAGCTGCCCTTGAGTCATCACACTATGATGCCTCTGATATTGCGGAGGGCCATCGGCTACGAATCAAACTGGGAAGGAGCGCTTTTTGTATGCTCCTGCAACATCTACACACTCCCGCAAGAAAATACGAGCAGCAGATGTTGCACTAGCAGTCACTAGCAACGGGGAACATTGTCGAAAACGTCGCGTGTTGAAATCGTAGGAGCAGAACCACAGCAACACAAGACTGTCACGCTGCTTGGCTGGAGGGCCTTAATAACTGGGGGTTCTTTGTGATAGCTATAGTATACTATACCCCAAAACCTTATTCTAATTATTAAGGCTCCTATATTAACAGTGGTTCATATTCAAGTAGATGGTTGGTTTTTAATTAGTTAAGCCAGCTAATCAGCTCATTTCTTCGCAGCTGCCACACATGTGGCAGTAGGCCCATCTCCAAATCAGGGTTCCTTATTTTTGGCCTGTTCTAAGCATAGCTACTCGCCTTCCTGTCGGGGCCTTCAAAGCCCCCGAAAGCAAAACGACATGGGGTTTAGGTTTAGGGTCCAGGACCTACTGACTATTGCTGGGGGTTAGGGGTCCAGGAGAGGCTGTGAGGCTTTGAACTGCGTTTCCCACTGCCCTTATGATTCTTTCTGTTGTTGCCCGTATCTATGGAAATCAGAAACACCTTCAACAACACGAGGGGCTGCACAACATAGAAGTCTGAATAAACACCAATATTCGCCTCGGACCCCGGCCGAAGCGGTCAGAGGTTCCTATTCGGACTTCCTCTAAACCCCACCTCTAATCCCCTTTCCAGTGACCCCCCCCGCAAAAGTGCCATCGTGCCGGATCCCTCTGTGTGAACCCGAAAATGAGCCCCAGGGTCCTGCGGTGAAATCTCGCCTCCTCCAACGGATTTGAGCTCTCCGTAGGCAGTCCCCGCCAACCCCCTCCCCCGCCCGGTTGATGCGCCGCCGAACGCAATCTCCTCCCCTTCCCCTCATCCGCTCCACCAGGCGCCTTCAGCACCAGCAGTTCGTTGGCCCTCTTTGCTTGCGGCCGGGCCGAGGCTGACGACGCGAAGCGGTTAAAATTATTCCATGGAGTTGATGTTCATGTCTATACCATAACACAACCCATAACGTATCTATACCATAACACAACCCATAACATATCTATACCATAACACAACCCACAACATATCTATACCATAACACAACCCATAACCCTGTTCCTAGCCCTTATGGAGGGATGCTTTGGAGTCACTTCCCAGGCACGTGCCGAGGTTCGCAGTGAGGCGACCCATGTGCGGCCACTCTGCCCACCTCAGCCATGCGTTTAGGGTTTAGGGTTTAGGGTTTAAGGTTTAGGGTTTAGGGCGGGGAATTGGTGTTTGGAAGGGCGGGGCCCGAAACAAAAGCTTCAAGAATTTAGGGTTTAGGGTATGGGGGTTTAGGTTGAGGGTTTAGGGCCCGAAACAAAAGCTTCAAGAAAGAACTCGATACGAGATTTGTGATGATGCTGATGATTTGAACAGTGCTGTGGCCAGCAACTCTACAGTGTTAGATGTAAGAACCACGACAGAGGTAGGAATGGCAACGACGCCAGCAAGCGAAGTCACAAAAGCAGCAGCAACGCTAGACAAAACCAATGCCACTGAAAAGGCAACCAAGCCAAGAGTCTTTATCCCTCAGTCTGAGCCACAACAATAAACCCTAAATAAACCCTAAACTTACTCCCCCAACCCTTGCGATCTCTGTCTGCTCAGCGTAGTCAGTGGACCAGTGGACTTATAATTCCACTTTTAGCTACCAAAAAGCTTAGAAACCCCAAACCCTAAGCCCAAAACCTTAAACTCAGACCTAAACCTTGGAAACCCCAACCCTAAGCCCTAATACCTTAGAAACCCCAGACCCTAAGCCCTAAAACCTTAGAAACCCCAGGCCCTAAGCCCGAAAACCTTAGAAACCCCAGACCCTAAGCCCTAAAACCCCTAAAACCCCTAAAACCCTAAAACCCTAAAACCCTAAAACCCTAAACCCTAAACCCTAAACCCCCTAAAACCTGAAGCTCAGACAGGGTACAAGGAGGGCAGGCAGCACACGGTGTCACTCTTGCAGTCTTCGGTCTCCTGTTGCACTCAAAGAGCCCCATCCCCAAACTTTAGGGTTTGGGGTTTGGGGTTTAGGGTTTAGGGTTTAGGGTAGCCCCTTGATCGGGGTTTAGGGTTTGGGGTTTAGGGTCTAGGAACCTTTGGGTTTAGGGTTTAGGGTTTTGGAACCTTTGGGTTGGGGTTTTGGAACCCTTTGCTAAGTCCTTCCCTGTTTAGGGTCTCGGCGCTCACACTCGGACATTTTTAAGGTTGAGGGCTTTGGGGTTAGGGCTTAGGGCTTGTAATATGTCAAGCCGCTAGTCAGCCCTGGAACCCCCCCCCCCTCCCATAGGCTAAACCCCTTGAAGGATCATGGGACTTAGTAGGTAAGGTTATAAGTCCCTTAATTGGGGCTATAAGTAAATATAAGTCTAGTTACCTTAAATAAAACCCTACTTACTAAGTCCCATGATCCTTTAAGTAAACCCTAAACCCTTAAACCCTTAAACCCTAAATCCTAAACCGTACTTACTGAGTCCCATGATCCTTTAAGTACCCCCCCCCCCCCGTAATCGGGGGTTTAGGGTTTTGGTAGACCGGAGGTTTCAAGAGAGGATGAGGTCTAGGTCTGAGGACGTGCGATGGAAATATAGAAGCCTCCATAATTAACATAGGGTTTTTGGGCCCATTATAATACTATA